TCTCTCTCTCTCTCTCTCTCTCTCTCTCTCTCTCACACACACACACACACACACACACACACACAAAGGGGGTCCGAAATCCCCTGACAGGGGAGTGCGCTGGGGGGGCCCGGACCCCAACCGGGTGCCCTGCCCGGCCAGGCCGCCCGGGACCTCCCCCGGGCCCCTGCCGGTCACCCGGGCAGCCCGGATCCCCACTCAGATTTTTTTTTATTTTTTTTTTTTGCTGGGCCCTTCCGTACTCCCTCCACGACCGGGCTGCCCAGTCAAACAAGGTGACCCGGGTGGCCCGGCTGGTAGCCCCGCATTTTTTCAATAATTTTGAATATCTTTTCGGATTTATCAGGACCTGAAAATGAAGCTCAGTGGATATCTCCTCAGGAACTCGCCAACTGCATCATCTGACGGTGCACCTGCTCCAAGAAGAGATTCAAACATTGCAACAAACACAACAACGATAATTGAAGTAAGGAAAACAAAGTTGTGGGGAAAAAAAAAAGAAAAGAAAACCCCATACAGTAAAGATGAATGAAAGGATTCCACGCTGCAGACACCTCGAGTCATGGTTCCAGCGTCCAATTGTCCCAGTTGGGCCCAGTCCCAGACGGGCCCGGTCCCGCCTGTTCTGGTAGGTCGGTCCCAGGTAGGTTATGTAGGGTCCTTAGGGTCCGTAGGAAAGCAAAGCTTCATAGGCAAAGTCGGTTTAGTGCCGTACAGACAGGTAAAAGTCCAACCGGTACCCGACAGCGGAAGTCCAGGGCCAAAGTGCAATTTTGCAGCAGCGTCCCAATAAAGTCCGGAAGGTACCGGACCTCCCAAACTTCATGCAGCAGACAGGTCGCGGGCGACCAGCACCGGTCGAAGACGGACCTAGGCCAAGTCAAGCTTCTATAAATAACTTGCTACAGTGCCATTCTGACATGCTGTTCATTCGTGAGAATGCAGAAGCGCTGCCTGCTGCTTGTGCTACATCGCGACTTGGGCAGAGCGCCAGGCGACCTGTTCGGCGGCACTTGAAGTTTAGGGTTGACAGAGGGAGAGCGGCATAGCCGCCATAGCTGTAAAGCCATAGGAGGAAGGCGGATGTATCCAGGCTTACGATCCAAGTAGTTGCAGTTAGGAGAGAGACAGAGAGGGATGCAGAGTGATACACACACACACACACACACACACAGAGAGAGAGAGAGAGAGAGAGAGAGAGGGAGAGAGAGAGAGAGAGAGAGAGAGAGAGAGAGAGAGAGAGA